CAAGCCTGTAGGGTTGCCTGGAGTTGTGACCAAAGTGCAGGACCCGACACTTGGCCCTATTGAAACTCATGCAGTTAACCTTGGCCCATCGATCCAGTCTATCCAGATCAACATGCTGTTGCTCCCGTGCCGTTCCACACAGTGGAGTGTTGGTGCAGGACAGGGCTGGGGCTGCATGGGGATGACAAAATGTCAGTTCCAGGGCAGAGACCTTTACGTGGATCCTTCAGCCTTCCTATCCCTGCCAGACACGTCTGGTTGTACAGCTGAGACCCCTGGAGTCGCCACACTGAGCCTCTCCTTGCACGGCCAAGAGGACATGCTGTAACATGAAGACCCAAATCCTTTCTTTCTTGGTTTCATTTATTTTTCTTTTTTGATTCCATTGGCTTGTTAGGGTGTATCTGTCCAGCTGTGGGAGGTATGGGAGGAGACACGGCTGGCCATGTGGGCACTGAAGAGCAGGCAGGAAGGTGCTGTGTGGATGGACAGAGGCAGAGGGGCTCACTGAAATCCTGGCAGGGCCGGGAGGGAGGCTGCATGGAATCTCACTGCAGACAAATGAGGGTTCAGGCACTTGAGGCAGTCACAGATTACATGTGAGCACTTTCACTCTGCCATTTGCTGACTGCTTTACCTCCATCACGCTTCTGTTCCTTTTTGTCTGTAGTCTCTGTTCCCGCAGAAGCCTTCTATCAGAATCATGGCAGGCTGTACAGCATGATGAAGGGGAAAATGGGTCCCTCCAACGTGCACCTGTTCACAGGCACGCTGTGTAAGGAGCTGCATGAGCACATGGCGCACCTGGGCACTGCTGGCACGGGCGACCTCATGGAGCTGGTGAGGTGAGGACCTTCCCTCGTGTCTGCAGTGCGTGGAGCACAGGTGGCACCAGGAAGCACGTGGAGCTCGGGCTCTCAGCCCTTCGTGGCAGCAGCACAGCCCTTGGGTCACTGCAGTCAGCAGTGCTGTGGGTGCACAGAGCTCTGCATGCTCTCCCATCCCTGGTGCAGCCCTGGGGAACAGAACGTGCTGTGGCCACGGCTGATCAAACCCAGGTCTGATTGGCCTGAAGTGTAAAGAAGTGCTCGTGGATTATAAACTATAGGATCTGTAAGAGGCACCCATGGTAACTTTGTATTGAGTGTGACCTGTTTTTCTGACTCTGCTGGATGAGGTGGGGTAGAAGAATTAGAATGCAATGTCCTGGCTGAGTTTTATCTTGCTGGCTCAACGTTGCATCCATAGAGCCAGCAGGTGGCTCCATCTCCCTTGTGATCCGTAGAAAGGCATGAAAGTGAGAGGCATTGCCTGAAACACAGGGTTAGAAGTAGCTGGAACCAAGCAAAGACTTCCTGGTAAGGATTTTCTGGAGCACAGCAGTCCAGGTAAAGCGGTTTGGGAAGGGAGCAAGGAATCTGCAGGATGATGGAGGAGCACAAAGGGCAGGGGCAAGATGGAAGGAAGGCAAACAAGCATGGTGCAGTCCAGCAGAGCTGCGGCCAGAGGAGGGATTGCTGTGGGGTCTGGTTGCAGAAGGGGCTGTGCCAGGAGGCTGGCATGGCCAACCTGGAAGAAGGTGGCTGGTAATGGGAGCAAGGGGACCTCAGTGCCACCACTCAGGGAACCGAATGCCCACTGATGAAACCTGGCTATACTCGGGGCAGAGCCCGAGGTCTGTGCATCTCCCACCTCTGCGGAGATCTGTGAGAAGGGTCTGGTGAGGTGCAGATGTTGTGCCAGCACTGTGCTGTGTGCTGCACGAGGCTCAGCTGCAGCTCAGCGCCGTGTCCTGAGCTCCACGTGCTCCTCCTTCCCTGCCACTCTCTCAGGGCCATCTTGTCCTTGCAGGCACGTCATGTATCCAGCAGTGGTGAACACTTTGTTTGGGAAAGGCGTCTGCCCGACCAGCCAGAGCCAACTCAGGGAGTTTGAAGAACATTTTTGGAAGTATGATGAGGACTTTGAATATGCTTCTCAGATGCCAGAGTGCTTCCTGAGGTAACGGTAGAGTCTGTGCACGTGGTGTGCTGCATGCAGGCACCTTGATGGCTGTGATAGTAACACTTAGGGATCTTCTCCTCGAGGGGGATGTGCTGTCCTGTGGCAGGCTAGGCATGGACTCCAGTGCTGGTTCAGAATGAAGACATTTATTGTAGGTGCTCACAACCACCCATCAGACCAACCCTGTGAGTTTTCAACACGTAGCTTTTGCCTCACAAATCAACCATTTTCTGAGGTAGTTGCATTGCTTGATGCCAAGAGGTTGGCTGCGTTATCTGCAGTCCGGTTGCCTCTGTAGGCTTCAGTTGGGAGGATACCCAGGAGGTTGCTGTGCTTCCAAGAAGCAGCAGTAGATGCTGATGGTACAGGGAAGCTGGGCCTTATGGCTCTGGCTGGAACTCATTGCAGGCTGGCACCCGTGCAAACCTCTTCCCCTCCATTGTTTGTTTGTTCCAGCTGTGACTGATTTCTTTCATTCTGATGTAAATCAAAATGTTGCACAACAGCACAGATCACCTTTTATAAAAGAGTGAAATACAGGACATGTGGGATACAGTGCAATAAGGGGAAGAGGTGGATTATTGTTCTCCTTTTAAGAACCCATTTAAAATATGATAATCAACTGAAACGTGGCACAAACATCAGAGCATTTTCTTTTAGAGGTGCTTGTACTCCCCGCACTTCATTATTGGATTAAAAGCATACTTTGGAAGCTCACACTTCTTGAGCCTGGTCTGCTGGTTGGCGACCCTGCACATAGCAGGAGGTTGGAACTAGATGAGCATTGTGATCCTTTCCTACCCAGGCCATTCTGTGATTCTGTGGTTCTGTGACTTCAGTGTGACTCTAAAGCCAAAACACACCTGGTACACTTCATCTTCCAGACCACTGTCAGTTGTTTTACTTAAAAATGCATTAAGCATCTAGCTCAAATCTTAACCCAACTTGACCTCCAGCACTGAAATTCTTGCCATCAATGAAGCCTGAGATGGTCAGCTTTACACCAGGTTGAAGAGCAAGAGTATATGTAACCAGTGCCAATCAGGCTGGAATTATTCAAGGCCAGGCTGGATGTGGCTCTGGGCAGCCTGGGCTGCTGGTTGGCGACCTGCACACAGCAGGGGGTTGGGACTGGAGGAGTGCTGTGGGCCTTTGCATCCCAGGCCACGTTGAGATTCTGTGATCCTCATTAGCATTTTCTACAGCCATCTTTCCTAGCAGTATTTCCTGTGCCTTATCACTGGCCACCTGTTTGTCCAGGCTGTCTCAGTTTATCAGTGAACTGCATGGAAGGTTCACCTTGCCCCTGCTTTATGCTGGTAAATGAACGTTGGGTCTTAAGCTGCATCAGGGACCTTAAGAAAGGCACCAAGGGCTGTCATTGGATTGGTCTAAGGCCACAACATTCAGCTGTACTTGATCCATTGTGGCAGCCCCGAGCAAGGCTTCTGTACCAATGACTTGCAAAGGGCCCCCATTTGGTCTACGCAGATTCTCTGTTGCCTTTTGTTGTGCAGATTCTCTCCAACAGCCCATCCACATCATGTATTGAGAACTGGTTAAAATCAGTTGTGCAAGGTCTTGTAATCACGAGGACAAAAAGTGTAACTTCTCATCACAGAGCTCAACAGCTGGTACAAGGGGAGCCCAGCTCAAATTCAAGGACCACTTTTCTGAGCTCTTTTATTATTTGAAAGCTTGTACCTCCTGTCTCTCCTCTGGGACCCCTCTCTGTGCTTTCTCACACCTTGGCTTCTTGCTGCTGGTCTGACCCTGGGTTACACTGCTGCAGAGCTGACCTTGGGTAGAGGCAACCAGAACCCAAGGAAAGAGCTTGCAGAGCTCTCAGGGCCACAGCAACACCTTGAGTACCTCAGAGTCGCCTTCAGAGAGAACTGGGGATGCTCTGAAAATGAGGCTTTTATTTACTCAGAGATTGACTGAAGGGATCCAAAACCAAAAAGAAAACCTCAGGTGGAGCGACTGGAAGTTCAGGACTCTCAACCTGGCTGCAGGGTGAGCCCTGGCCAACAGAAAGGGTTCAGTGCTGCTCCTCCATCAGCCAGCACTGCTGCCCGGCACAGTGATGTTCATCAGCTGGCTGCTGCTATGGTGTTTTTGGAAGGAGACCAAGGAGTCCTTCTCATGCAAAAGGAAATGTTGGTTTGTGCTGCCTCGGTTAAGTGCTCCTTGCTTGTTGCTTTTCTTTACAGGAACTGGTCTAAATCCAAAAAATGGCTTCTAAAATTATTTGAGAAAGTAGTGTCAGATGCTGAAAGGACCAACCCTTCAGAGACCACATCCAAGGTAAACATCCGAGGCTCCGAAATAAGAGGACTTTGTTGTATATTCTGACTGAAGGAATGAAGGGCACTATTTAAGTACTGGAAGAAATACACCAGATGGGTCAGCTTTTATAGATACACATTAATTGTCCAGTAGTGCTGTTTCTTCCGTTAAGCCTTACTTTGTGAGCACTGCTGCTCCGTGTTGTTTGTCTCCTACAGTTCCAAGACTTTCAGATCCTGTGGGGAGTTTGAAGCCAAAGGGTTGGTGCTGTGACCCATCTGTCCTGGGTTCAGTGCTGCAGTTACAGTGAGCAGCTGAAGGAGAGGGAAGGGCCTCTTCATTGAAAGAGGTTTGGTTACATTAGGTTAGGTTAGATGTTAGGAGGAAGTTTTTCCCCCAGAGGGTGGTGAGGCAGTGGCACAGGTTGCCCAAGGAGGCTGTGGATGCCCCATCCCTGCAGGCATTCAAGGCCAGGCTGGATGTGGCTCTGGGCAGCCTGGGCTGCTGGTTGTTGACCTGCACACAGCAGGGGTTGGGACTGGAGGAGCGCTGTGGGCCTTTGCAACCCAGGCTGTTCTGTGATTCTGTGATTCTGTAATTCTATGATTCTATGATTCATTGCCTCTCGGGGGCACTGGGCTGTGCAATTTCAAAACCTTCCATGTACTATTTTTAAGCCTTGGTGTAGAGTGATTAGATCCTCCAGCAGCCAGATGAGCAGGAAAAAGGCAGATAAGTGGATTGGAAGACAAGTACCCTAAATATTGCTTGTGTCAGAATGGTGATAAGTCGTCCTGCTGGTTATTCTCCTGTGCCATGGCAGGAATGCTGCTGGTGTGGATGACAGGCTTGAGTGCAGGCTGGCCTGGGAGTTTCCATCTACCACATGGTTATAAAAGAGATCATTAAACAAACCATATTTTGGGGCAACTTCAAAAGCTTTGCACACCACGGTTTCATAAAATACATGAGAATAATGGAAAGAGACCAAGAGGGGAGGAGAGAGGACGGCAGGAATGGGACGTGCAGGGAGCAGGGGGCACAGACTCAGGGTCTTGGGTGGGCAGGAACTTTTGCTCTAAGCAAAAGCTGATGCTCAAACATTCTGAGGCTGCTGCAGCTGCAGGGAATGTTACACCATGAAGGCCACTGGTCGGGTCAGTAAGGAGCACCCAGAGCTGGGACTGCTGGCACTCAGACCCCCACTGATGGGCCATGGCAGGAGCAGCAAGAACGTCATTGCTCCTCATCCTGATGGTTCAGTCCGGGTCTTGGGTTCTTCAGAGGGCAGAAGTGGGGTGAGAATGATGTAGGAAGAATTTTTTCTTTGCCCCACACACAAACAATGATGGAATGTGGGAGAATAAGACCCCCTGAAAGCACTGAGGGAGTGGAGGTGGTGCACGTACTCACTGTGGCTCTCATGGCTTGGGTTTCCCTGGGCCCTCTGCCTACAAGAGAGGCTCACTTCCTCTTAGCAGCTGTCATTGCCATGCTTTGGGGCTGCTAACATCGTAACTAATGCTATTGCTTTGATGTTACCTCCTTGAATTCCACTAAGTCATCCCCTAAGCTACGTTTTAATGTATTTAGAGGAATACTTTGCATTGTTTATTTATGACAGACACTACTTCAGCACCTCCTGGATAACCTGCAAGGAAAACATCTGGCTCCCAACTACGGTCTCCTGATGCTCTGGGCCTCCCAAGCAAATGCTGTCCCTGTGAGTAGCTGGGTGGGAGCAAGGCCTTTCCTGCTTGGAAGCCTGCACTGGGGAGCACAGTGCTTAACTCCAGGTCACTGTGCTGTGTGTATTCCAGGAAGGGATTATCACACCCACCTACATCACCACAAATACACCCAGGTTGCAATGTCACAGAGGCAGTGACAGGAAAAGTTCGTCCTGTATTTTTCCTAGATCATAATGTCCTGCATTGTAACCTACAGGAGCTATTAAGCTGCTAAGGTCAGAATCTTAAGCTATGAAAAGCATTTAACTTCATTTTGGAACACTGTATTATAACAAACACTGTATTTTAAATATTCTGTGTAAAGTGCATCGAAAGCATGAAGTAGGGTAACTTGGCCCCTGTGTAAAACCAGAGTGATTGAGGTGGTTGTGCTGCAGGAGTGCAGCCACGAATTCAAGGCCAGGCTGGATGTGGCTCTGGGCAGCCTGGGCTGCTGGTTGGCGACCTGCACACAGCAGGGGTTGGGACTGGAGGAGCACTGTGGGCCTTTGCAACCCAGGCCATGCTGGGATTCTATGATTCTATGAATGCCAGTGCTGTGTCAGGAGAAGAAAAGCAGTAGTTTGATGTTTCTGCCTCTTCAGTTCTGTCTGTGCTGGGAATGGATGTGACAGATAATGATGGAGGCTGTGCTAATGAGATCAGTGCATCTAACACGGCTGATTCTGACCAAAGCCACTTACTGGAAGTGCTCGGATGAGAATTCTGTAGTGGGAGAGCCGTCCTTTATTTGCTGTGACTGTGAGGCTCTTTCAGTTGTGGTACAGCTGTGATTTAGAAGATGCAGTGAGATACTTTTGTCTGTACTCCCAAAGGGGTACCTGCAGCTTTTGTGGGTTGGCTGCAGCCTGCCCTGAAGGGATGTGGTCCATTTCAGTGGGATTTCTGCAGATCCACATGTCGGAATAAGGGAGAGGCACGGCCTGCTGCCCGTTATCAGGATAACTGGCATTCCTTCCATAATGCTATCATGACTTCCTTCTGTAATATTCAGCTCTAAATAGACCTGCAGATATTTCGCTGTTTCTCAGAATAGTCACAAGGCTCTGGTGAGTGGAATGAGGAAAAAAGGCCTTTCACCTTCCAAGGGGATGGTTGAGAAGAAACTCTTTTATCCGAAACAACTCTGCTGATTTAGTAATTGGTTTTAACACCTCGATACTTGAAATTAATGAGAGGATTCTGTGTTTCTAAGCTCAAAGCCGCACACATAATGCTCAGTGGAGATCTGTACACAGCAGATGGACAGACCTAATCTGCCAGGGTCTGAGCCCTTGGCTGTAGATCTGTATGGGAAGCACAGCTCCCCCTGTGCCCCAGCCACGGGAGGCACCTCAGAAAATTGTAGATGTTTTCTCTTTCCTCTCATAGCTACAAAGATGTTGTGATTCTGTTCTGTATTCCGGAGCTAAAATACTCTCATCTCTGTTTAGATTGCATTCTGGACCCTTGTTTTCATACTCTCTTATCCTACGGTTTACAAGAAAGTCATGGAAGACCTGGCTTCTGTTTTTGGCAGTGCAGGTAATGATTCAGATCATGGCCTTTGAAACTCAGCATGGTGGCTCCACGTTGGCCCAGCACGCAGCACAGTGGGCAATGGCTGGGAATAGTGGTTGCTGATAAGGACACTACCAACACCACGAGGTCCAGCTCTGCCTGTTCAGCCTGTGCTCACGACTTATTTTTAAGCAAAAGCACTCTTGATGTTAGTAAGAGAAGGCAGAAGAGCCATATGTACTCGCCTCTTCATTCTGCACCAATTATTTAGGCCTAGTTTGTTTTTTCCATGCTTCTGTGGTAGGGTCAGATGAGACCTTTCAGTTCAGTTTGGCCCCTTAGAATCACCACAGAGTCACCAAGGTTGGAAAAGACCTCCAAGGTCATCCAGCCCAACCACCCACCCACCACAGCATTCCCCACCAAGCCACATCTCTCAGTCCCACATGGCTCAGGAGCAGCTCCAGGGTCAGCGCCCCACCGCAGTGCTGGGCAGCCCATTCCAGCCCGTTCCTCTTCTGATCAATGCCATAACTACAGCTACCTTAGAGTTACTAAATTACTTTCGAAGGCTCTTCTTACCAGTGTTGGACTCAAATTGTTCAGATCTTGCTCTCTTTATTCACTTGGAAATAGAAAGGAAGGTTCTGGATGAAAACAATGTCCTGAAGGCTCGAGGTATTCTGTCAGAAGGTCCAAAGCCACACATCAGCAGGTTTCAAAACAAGTGTGAAATGGCGTTTTAACGTGAAGTCTTCTTTCTCACACCCCAACAGGTAAGGATGACATAGAAGTCTCTGAAGAGGACCTGAAGAACCTCCCTTATGTTAGGTGGTGCACTTTAGAAGCCATACGGCTGAGGTCTCCAGGTGCAATCACCAAGAAAGTAATAAAACCAATCAGAATTCAGGTGAGCAGCAGGGTGTTGGTTGGCTTTGGGTGCTGGGTGGGTTTGGTTTGGTTCTGGTTTGTTTTTGTTGTTTTGTTTTCTTCAGAGGATGCTTTATGATTCTTCCAGAAAGGCCCCTCTGATGGATGTAGGGAATGGGAACCATACCCAACAAATGTATGAGGAGGGACCACAACGTTGTAAGGGCTGCAGCCCCTCTTCTGTTTGTCCCCTTCATTGTCACGCAGATAAGAAAGTGCCTGCATTCAGGGCTGTGACAAATGAGTGTCTGAGGGAAAAACACCCCCCTCAAGGAAATGGCACTCACTGCCACTCTGTGGCCCAATGAAGCCCCATAGAGTCTGCTGTCCTGCAAGGCTTTCTGTGAATTCCTTTTTGTTCCGAAGGAAGCGTCTAAGGAAAGATGCAGAAGGACTAAAATGACACAGTTACATCAAGATGTGGGAAAGACAGAAATGAGGTTTCTGTTACTTGCACTGCTGACAATCTGGGTTAGGACAAAAGGTGTCTTTCCACATTCTCCCCATTTGGGCCTCCCTGATGGGAGAGGGGCACAGCACAAAGCATCAGACATGAAATGCCCACTGTGGCTTTGCCACCTTCCCAAACCTTCTGCCAGGACCTTCTGCTGATGGAGGAGAATGTAAGCAAGGACTGCTTTGTTAGCTGATTTTCTCTTTGTTTTCTTTTCTCCCTTTCAGAGTTTCACCATCCCTGCAGGTGACATGCTGATGTTGTCTCCATATTGGCTGCACAGGAATCCAAAATATTTTCCTGACCCAGAAATGTTCAAACCTGTAAGATGTCCCTCATAATATGGGGATTTTGCAGTCTGATCTCTTGTTCACCTGTTATACCACAAAAGCATCTGACCACGCTGGCTTCAGGTTGGGTGCTTTCCCTCCTCTGAGCAGTGTTCTCATGTGCAGAGATGTGTGAACCTGATGAGGTTCAACACGGCAAAGTGCAGTTTGGCACTTGGGCCGGAGGAATCGCAGGCATCCACACAGACTGGAAGGAGCGGTGCTTGAGAGCAGCCCTGCAGAGAAGGACCTGGGGGTCCTGATAGATGTAAAGATGAACGTGAGCCAGCAGTGTGCCTTTGTGGCTCAGAAGGCAAATGGTGTCCTGGGCTCCATCAGCAGAGGGGTGACCAGCAGGGACAGGGAGGTGATCGTCCCTCTCTGCTCTGCTCTCGTGAGGCCCCATCTGCAGCACTGCGTCCAGGGCTGGGGGCCCCAGTAGAAGAAAGACAGGGAGCTGTTGGAGAGGGTCCAGAGGAGCCACAGAGATGATCAGGGGGCTGCAGCACCTCCACTACAAAGACAGGCTGAGGGAGCTGGGCTTGTTCAGCATGGAGAAGAGAAGCTGCGGGGTGACCTCAGTGCAGCCTGCAGTACCTAAAGGGAGCCTGCAGACAGGAGGGGAGTCAGCTCTTGGAAAGGGGAGATGGCAGCAGGGCTGCTATGAAATGTGGAGGTTGGTGGCCCTGCCTGTGGCAGGGAGGTTGGAGCTTCGTGATCCTTGAGGTCCCTTCCAACCCTGGCCATTCTGTGATTCTGTGTATGGGCAGAGGGCCCTGCAGGCACAGCCAGGGCTTTGAGGCTCAGGTTTATGTCTCAGATAATACCACACTACCTCATGTCACTCTGCTCCTGACTCAAAGCCCACTGTGGATGAACACCACTGACTTCACTGTTGAAACAACATCCAATAGCCCCGCTCCCTGGCTCTTGTACAGCTTATCTTTGTGTTTCTTTGTGGTTCTTCGGCCCTTCCAGTCAGATGATTTCTGGTCGGTATATTAATTTAGCAGCTCATCTCGAGTTTCTTGCTGATTATTCCACCCCAGGTGGCCATGTGGGCAGGCTTGGAGCTGCTCTTTTTAGCACCATCCGCTGTAGAACATTTGTCTTTTTTTAGAAATACATCAAGGAGTAATTGAAACAAAATTCCCCCTGTGGCCAGCTCTTCACCCATTCAAAATCCCTCTCAGCAGTTCCTGCCTCTCTGAAACCCTGCACAGAAACTCTGATGCAGCAACTTATCTCTCTAATAACACTTTATTGCTGAAAACAAGGTCGCTTGTTTAGAAGTTCGTTCCTTTCCCCATAGGAATGGGGCAGCTGCCCTTGGACGTTGCTTTGTTTCATCACCGCTGAGATCTTTGTCCTGCTTTTAATGGATTTTGGTGTGAACAGATTTCCTGTTCAGAAAGCTCTGAAGAGCTGAAGCTGTATAAAAATCCCAAATAAACAGACATAGGATTCTGTCTTCTCGAAGGGCTCCAGCAGAAGCGATAGCTGCAAAAAGCTTAGCAGGTGTTACTGGAAGGCTTCACTGGAGTTGTGCTGAGCTTCTGGGGGCTGCTCTGCTTGTCACCCAACGGTCAAGCAATGCACTTCTGCCAGTGTCAGCCCACCTCAGCTGCAGCCTGGCTGCTCTGCTGTTCCTTTCCTCCTGCAGCGGCTCAGGCAGGAACCAGCAGCCCTCTGGGCGCAGGGGCTCTTTTTGCTGCCATTGCCAAGAGTGTATTTTGTCACCCAGTAGCTCATCCCTGAGAACGGGGTGGTGTAATCTTTCCCTTCCCCTTGTGTGACATAAATACACCTTGGGTTTGTTGATGTGTAACCGGTGTGTAACAGAGGCTGTGATGCCCCGTCCATCCCTGCAGGTGTTCAGGTTGGATGGGGCCCTGGGCAGCCTGGGCTGCTGTGAAATGGGGAGGTTGGTGGCCCTGCATGGCACAGGGAGGTTGGAGCTCAGTGATCCTTGAGGTCCCTTCCAACCCAGGCCATTCTGTGATTCTAACATGTGGGACGTGCTTTGTGGGAAGGCGCTGCCTGGAGCTCACATCTTCATTGGCATTTCAGTAACTCAAGCAGCAGGTTTAGAGAAATAGGGATGTTGAGGAAGATGCTTTGTAGGGGTGATTTTGAGAACCCTTCCGGTATTTGGAGGGTCTCGGTGTGTTTCACATGGGACCCTTGCTTGTTTCCCTGAGTCACTGCTGGCTTTTGAGGCAGACTCCTACAGTACCAGGTTGAAGGCAAAAAATGGCATTGGTGCAATTTGGGATGGAGGATTAGCTGTTCAAGGTCATTTTTAGCCTGGAGAAATAAAGTTGAGCTTTATTTATATAAGTCTGATTTGGAAAAAAAAAAGTTTCTTCCCACAGGATCGTTGGAAAGAGGCAAATTTAGAGAAGAATGCTTTCTTGGACGGCTTTGTGGCATTTGGAGGAGGGAAGCATCAGTGTCCAGGAAGGTCAGTGAAACAGCTGGGGTTTATTTATTCCCAATCCCTGCAGAGAACAACCCTCCCGTGCTGGGCTCCTCTTACACTTGGAGATAGGCTGTTCTCATTGTTTCGCTTTGTCAGTGCTCTGACGTTCAGCACTATCTGGACTTTATTTAGATTAATTTGAAAGTGGCTTCTTTCCTGGAACAAAACAGGTGAAGCCGCAGTGTAAAAGCAGAACCTGAGATAAGTGGCCCAAGGGATGCTGCTCAGTGAGAGTCAGCCTAACCCTGCTGCTGCTGAGGCCCCTTTACGTCAAGGGAGAGTTGTTCCACTTACAGACATGCTGGTTTACAGACACGGGCTTTAAGGTGCCACAGGGCACTTCCAAACAAAGAACGTTGCTCTGCACTGACACTCTCTATCCGTCCTCCGCCATCTTTGCTAATCTTCAAACGTCTTGAATGGTTCCTCTCTGTTTAAAGCCCTTGCGTTTGCATTACGGCCCACACAACTGTATGATGGCTTAAATTGCAGATCCTGCCTCTGTTCCTTCCTCCAGCAATGCCAGCCTCAGTGCTTCCTGCATTCCTTCTGCTGTTTTCTCTGTGGTCCCTCTTCCTGGAATGAGTCCCAAGGAACCAGCTGCTCCATGTTTCTGTGTTAAAACATCCCTGTGCTCATTTCTCTGCCTTCAAAACCCAATCTTCTCTAGGCAGCAAATAAACAAGAATCCTCAAGAGAAGTCAGTTGAACTCAAGAGTCCTATGTGGAGCGAGGAAACCAGAGGATGTTGTAAGGGAAGCGTGTTCTTGAGTCTGCACCCTGTATCAGGCTGGGCATGAGCATCAGGTAGACTTTGTGAAGGCATTGCACATGTAAGCAATGTGAGTAAAGCTGTTCAGGCTTGGCAGAGGAAAGTGCCCACTCACTGCTGTACCTCCCCAGCTTGTACAATGTTCCTGAGCTGAATGTAGCACAGCCTCACTGGCAGCAAAGGCAACAGCCATGTCCACAGCAGGCACCCACAGGGCACAGCGTGCTGCCCTGCTTCTTTATAACATGGGCCTTTGTCTTTGATCTGGCTGATCTCTGGGCTCTGACAGTATCTCTAAAGTAAGTTTGGGGTGAAAATGAAAATGACAGTGTCACTGTATAGGCAATAGGTGGAGAATCACTTCTGACAGATGCTGTCCTTGCAGCCACACGGTGACACCTCTGCACCTTTTAGTAGTAATTCTGAGAGAGTAACGTGGTGGCCCTGGAAGAAAGGACATTGAATCAAGGATGTGTCTGGATCTCAGGTTGCAGATTTCCATGGCATAACTGAATCAAATAATGATATTTCAAGTTTAAGATGAGTTTTCATTTAATTCACTGCTGGCATTTGTAAATAAGTGCACCAAATATTTAGCTTTACTCCTCGCATTGCAAAAGCTCATCATGAAATTCAAAGCTAGTGCAATCGAACTGAAAGCTACAAAATGACTTGTTAAATATCCTAGCAAAGTGCTGTGGGAAGAGCTCCCAGAAAACCATTTCTGAACCTAAGGGAAAAGGTTTGATGTCCCTAAACCTGCAGTGGGACTTCTGTCTGACCAGGAGAGCTCTGCGGGTGCGGCTGTGCTTATCTCACATACATGTGTCTGTTGTCTCTGATCTTCTGCTGACATTATAAACCCTTCAGCACTAGAGGTGCCATTTCATTCTCAGGCTCTGTTTGCTGCAGGATCTCAATGCCTGGGTGCCAGCACCAACAGGTATGTAGCGGTGTGCTGGGGACAAGATTCCAGAAAGTGCATCTTTGTCAAACCTCCTTGGCACTAAATAGAACAGGACTCAGAGCTTTTAGGGGAAAGCTGCTCGAGCACCCAAGAATATGAAGGACAAATGGGAACTAAAGGGCATTCTGCTGCAGGAGAGCTCATGGATTCTGACTGGGATGTGGCCAGGAGGAGAGGGGACCTCAGCCGTCTGTTAGCATCCTTGTGCCTCAGCATCTCTGCAGACAGGAGGAATGGCAGCCTGTCTGCAGCAGCACTGTGCAGTCTCGTGGTGGGATGCAGAGGCAGGACTTCAGGCGCAGCAGCACCAAGCAAGGACTGCAAGGAAGCCGCCTTGGTACAGTGCTGCTGGCATGGAGTTTGGGCTGGGAAGTCCTGCCTGACCGGAGCTCATTTCCGTTCAAGTATCTCTGCTCTGCATTCCTCTGAGCTCAAGGTCACCAAAAGCACCCAATCTCAAGGTACTACAATGTAAAACCACAGGGATAATTTGGTTCTCAAGCTGTGTCAAAGCAAGCAGGCATCTTCTCACTGCAGAGCGCTGGGCAGTGCAGTGTGCACATCTGAATGGTTCTGCAGGAGCTGCCTTGGCTCCCATGGGGCTTATTAGCTTCCTCTTCACACCTACCAGGCCAAAGCCAGGCTGACACTGTGTGCAGTCATGCTCTCTTCTCCCCAGTGAGCTTCCCAATAGGTGTTTTATTCAGCAGTTCTCACATACTGGAAAATAAACTGTGTAGAAGAGCAAGGTAATATTCCTATTTTAAGCAGCTCTTTAAGACGTATGTCTGACTCCTGCAGTGAGTAATCCCATGAGCTGGCATAGGTAGAGCTGGTGGCTGAATGGAGGATGTTCTTGTACATAGCAGCATTTAAAAATAACAGCTGGGCAGAGTTCACCTGCAGTTACTGCTGCAGTGTGGCTGGCTGAGAGCTTTGTGAGCGTGCTGCAGACACACATCGTGCCCTTGGGTTTATCCTGCATTTGAACACTGACGCACTGAGCACCAACTCCTGCTGTCACATCTACTCTGATGTCACCGGGCTCCCAGCTGTATGGCACGACTTTATATAGCACAATTAGTCATAGAGCCTCTTCTATATTTGACTGTCTGCTCAGTCCTAGGGAGTTATTTCAAATCAGTAAGTCTTAGAAGAACATCAATGTTTACACAGTGGAAAAAGCCCCTGATGGCAAGGAGTTGTTGTGAAATGGGCTGTCGGAAGCTACGGCTGCTCTGAAGTGTCCCCAGGCAGAAGGGATGGCCACCATGTTTGCATTCTTCACTGCACAGCATTTTTTTCTGCTGAAGATAAATGCACACTGAGGCATGGAATGCAAGATGTGCAAGAGGCAGCATGCTGCTTGTCTGATAACACGTGTGAGCTGCAGGATGGACACCCAGTGCTCTTCTCCCTTCTCTTGCAGATGGTTTGCTATCATGGAAATCCAGTTGTTCGTTGTGCTGTTCCTGTACAAATACCAATTTGTTCTTTTGGATGCAGTACCAAAGGAGGTAAAAGATCTGTGCCTTTTTCTGGCATTCCACATCTTTAATTCCTTTATGCACTGGGCTCAGATGAACGACCGTTCTCAACTGAGTTTATGTGTAATGAAGCAGAATGCTTTGAGGGGCATTTGAAAACATACAATCAATAATTTGATCTTAATTTTTATTCAGGAAACGCAGAGCAATTCCAGCAATGCAATGGGACTGTGATGTTTATACAAGTGCACCTATGAGAGCATTTTATCTCGTCGTTGCCTAAGCATTACAGGAGGTTTTACAATTTCTGCCACTCACAGCAGCAATGAATTACACAGTTAGATTATTGGTACCTGAAGCAGGCATTAAATGAGAGGCAGCATCTTAGGGACGTGGCTCAGTGGGCATGGTGGTGATGGCTGACAGCTGGGCTAGATGATCTTAGAGGTCATTTCCAACCTTAATGATTCTATGATTCTTTGATTCTGTCATAACCTGTGCTCTTCTGCTCCACACTGAGTGGGGGAAGAGAACCAAACAGAATCACAGAATCCCAGCATGGCCTGGGTTGCAAAGGCCCACAGCGCTCCTCCAGTCCCAACCCCTGCTGTGTGCAGGTCGCCAACCAGCAGCCCAGGCTGCCCAGAGCCACATCCAGCCTGGCCTTGGATGCCTGCAGGGATGGGGCATCCACAGCCTCCTTGGGCAACCTGTGCCAGTGCCTCACCACCCTCTGGCTCAAAAACTTCCTCCTCATATCCAACCCAAACCTCCCCTGTCTCACTTTAAAACCATTCCCCTTGTCCCATCACCACCCACCCTCACAAACAGCCGTTCCCCTCCTGTTTATATGCTCTCTTTGAATACCGGAATAGGGTAAGAATGAAGGAACAACCATGACACAGAGGGGTTTTACTGTAAAGAAAGAGTGGCATGGTCACTTCTTTCAGCTGTAATTCCCTTCCTCATTTGCACAGTGTCCCTTTCCAAAGCCGTGGTTCTCACAAACCTGCTGTGAAGAGAACCTGCCTGCTGTCACAGCCTGAACAGGGACACGTGCCCTGCAGCTAAACTGGCAAAGAGAAGAAGAAGGAGTTAAAAGTGTCCTGGGCTTTGTGACATTGCCCTTCAGGCTGGATGTTGAAGAATCCTTGAAGAATGTGAGAGGTTGCTCTCAAGCAGTACTAGACAGCCCACCCACAGTAAGGAGGAAGGTTGGCTCTTCCTGCCTGGTGCTGACTGACATCTTCACCCACCCAGGCGTTACGGTGGTGAATACACTCCAAACCATTGGGGTTTTTAAGATCTCATGTCCTCCTCTGCCACAGGAACTGGAATAGAAGTAGAAAGTAAAGCCCTTTTCAGCTACTCCAGTGGAGCCAAGAAATATTTCAGTATTTGGTCTTGTTTCTAAGACAAAAGCTCTAAGAATATGTTTATGTATAAATATTAAAGCAAGATGATAATTCCGTTAACTGAACTGAATAAAGTGTTTCTGTCAATCTCTTTGCAGAGCCCTTTGCATTTGGTGGGGACACAGCAACCCCTGACACCATGCCGGGTCCAGTATAAAGGCTGGGAATGAAGGGAGCCCAGTACTGACTTACCTTTCTTTGCCTGGATGAACGAACTGCTGAGCTGCTTCTCTGCTCTCTGTATTCAGACAAGTTCTCTGCTGTTACAGTCCTTAATCCCAGCTTTACATTGTGTACATGCTCTGCATTGCAATAAGCCATGACAACTCAGTCTTACCTATGGTCTTCTTCCCAGTTGCCTACCTCTGGTACTGCAAAATGAAGCTGTCCTGCCAAATGAGTCACAGTCTAACTGATAGGCTGCACTCACCAACCAGACCTTCAGGACACAAAACTGCTACGTCTGAAAATCCTGCAAGGAAGTGTTGCCAGAGGCAGCAGAAAAGCAGGTTCCTCTTTCCTGCAGGTGTCTTCAAGCCAAGGCCAAAGCTGCAAGCATGAGAAGCAGCTGGGATGCTGTTCCACTGGAGCACCTTCCATGGCTGCTGAGTTTGGTTTGCTCAGAACTGGTCCTGGCATGAATACACAGTGAAAGCTTGATGGTGGTGCTGGCTGCAGTGCAGAGCGATGGCAAGAAACGCCATTGCTCTTCATTAGTTTGGTGGTCTAGAATTGGGAACCTTTTTATTTGTAACATGATTTACAGAGCACATTAATAAATCTAAAACTATTCAGTTCTATGAGGAGTATCTGGTAAACGTTCAAGGAAACTCTCAAGTAAATAAGTTCAGATACCAACACTTTAACTGCTGTCAGATTTCATGTACAGCAATAGCAGACATGTATTTTTAGTCTTCTAAGTAAAGATTATTCATCGTTTTATAAGTGCTTGCAAAAAAAGCCACTCCAATGGCCTTTGGGCAGTGGTAGGTATGGGAATAACATCCATAGGAAAATAACACAGGATATAATTCATTAACTCAGTTATGGATACTACAGTTTAACAATACCTGCTCTTGACAGCCAGAGAAGCCAAACAAGAATGTGAATTAGAGTGGCTTTGTGACTCTCCCTCTGAAATCCCAGCACTGTGTGACTGCCCTGTCGTCAGTGGCAAAAACCATGTGGGGTGGATTAGTAGTGTGGTAGTCAGGTGATAGAGCTGAACGGGGCCTTCTACCTGGAAATAATTCAAAAGCTTCGGGGAGAGGGAAGTCCAGCACTACCACTGGGACAGGGTCAAACAGATGTTGAAAGCTCATGGAAAGGCCAGGTTGGATGGGGCCCTGGGCAGCCTGGGCTGCTGTGAAATGGGGAGGTTGGTGGCCCTGCCTGAGGCAGGGGGTTGGAGCTCCGTGATCCTTGAGGTCCCTTCCAACCCGGCCATTCTGTGATTACAATCACCTACACACAATTGGACGAAGAGCTTTTAAATCAGTATTTTTCAGATGTCTGTCCAGTCTGCTTTTAAAAATGGCAGTGCTGAAGTTCCGAAGCGATTGTTCCTCTCACTGACTGAAGGCTTCCCTGCAGGTCGATGGGGGTCACAATGAGCTTTTTATTCATGCTACTTGCTGTATGGAGCAGGAGGCTTTAAACCCAAAGAGAAAAAAGGGCCTGTCTTTGTGTTTCTCTCTCCTATATGAAGTATGGATGTTAAAGGGAGTGCAGTGAGTGTCCTGTGGCATCTTCAAACATGAATGATTCCACGTCCAGATGGGCGGCATCCATCAGAGCACAGCCCTCAGCCCGGGCTGGTTGGGATTGTATGTTGGCATTCATTTGGCCAGGAATCAGTGATACCTATTTCTGAGCCACTGCAACAGATGTTAAGTCTTTTTAAGAAGAGAGCAAATGTAGAGTTGTGAGGAATGAAAACTGCAGCCCTTTCAAACTAAGTTTGCTTTAATATTTTTTGGATTTTGTGGTACATTAAAACAGAGTTTCTAGAAGAAACAACACAGGTATTCCCACCAGAAAAGCCACCCCACTGCCGCCAGACATTTTTGATGTTGTTGAGGATGGTAGAAATACTTTGATATTTTCACTGCAACGATAATAGAATCACAGAATCACAGAATGGCCTGGGTTGGAAGGGACCTCAAGGATCACGAAGCTCCAACCCCCCTGTGCCATGCAGGGCCACCAACCTCCCCATTTCACAGCAGCCCAGGCTGCCCAGGGCCCCATCCAACCTGGCCTTGAACACCTCCAGGGATGGACGGGGCATCACAGCCTCTCTGGGCAGCTGTTCCAGCACCTCACCACTCTCACAGCACACAACTTCCCCTGACATCCAACCTCCATCTGCCCTCCCTCAGCTCCAAACCATTTCCCCTTGTCCTGCTGCCATCTCCCCTTTCCAAGAGCTGACTCCCCTCCTGTCTGCAGGCTCCCTTTAGTTACTGCAGGCTGCACTGAGGTCACCCCGCAGCTTCTCTTCTCCATGCTGAACAAGCCCAGCTCCCTCAGCCTGTCTTTGTAGTGGAGGTGCTGCAGCCCCTGCTCATCTCTGTGGCTCCTCTGGACCCTCAATAAATCAGTGGAAATTCAATATTTGGCAGAAGACTCATGAAAACATTTTCTATTAAAATTGTTGAACTGCTGCAAGTGAATCCTCTCCAGTCAGCAGAGTGAGAAGATAACCCTTCATATCAGCGGCCGCCTCCTGGAGTAATTGCAGCTTCTTTCATGTCTTTCCTGTAATGAGCCTCTTGTCTGTGCTTAGCAGTCAAGTACTTGGAGTGGTCTCTCTCGGCATTAGTGGTGGTATCCGACCTTTTCTGTGCTGCTGATTATCACAGAGACCAGAGGTTTGTGTGCCTCCTGCAAACAGATTACTGGGAATGAAAAGATAGGGCTGTGGCCATTGAGAGGTAACTAAAAATAATTACTTCCTTTCAGAAAGAAATGCAGCTAAAGGCTGTAGTTCTGTGTCGTGCTTAAACACTGTGTCGACAAAATCCAATTACGTGTTTTGCTTTCAGCAGATGCTTAATTGATTTGCAGAGTAAGAATGGGTTTCAACTCAAGCACATGCTGAAGCACTTCCCTGTGCCAGTCCTGCTGCTCTAGCTGCTCACCTGCTCGCAGTCTCTCCTGGTGGTTGTGTTGTAATTTTAGGGCTAGATAAGGATTAGTGGAAATACCGAGGTAGCTTTGCTCCTTTCAGGTGAAATTGGCAAACATGAAGGCTTCCAGGAAAAGTATTCTTTTAAAAGCACAGTTATAGCATAAAACAGTAGGCTTCATTGGCAGCAAGCATCTTTCCCAGTTATTTGGTACATTCTAAATGTGTGGCTCATCATATGGCAAAAAGTATTCCCTCTCCACTGGTATGCAGTGGAAGGGGAATTAGGCACAGTAAAGGCATTCAAAAGATAGCGAGCGTTGGATTGAAGAACCAAGGAGAAGCTTTCATCATGTGGCCATTCTGAATGACACTGGGCATGTGAGTGATGGGCACAACGTGACTTATTGTTTGACTTTGATCATAAAATTACTAGGAATGGCTTAATGGAGTTATAAATATCTTGTTTCCATGAGAGTCCTGGGAGGGTAATTATAGCACTGAAGTCTTTACAGAGATAGAGCCTTTATACAGTGATATTATCTAAGGACTGCAGTGCGTAAGGCCGGGAATTCTGCGTTCTGTGAGCAGCTCTGCTCTTGACCCAGTGCACTCGTTGGGCAAATCACTCCATCCCTCCGTGACTCCGTTGTCCCATCCATACAGTGGGGTAATGATAACGACTGCTGCAAACTCACTGAATTACAAGTTGCATTACTCAGACTCAGCAAAGCCTGCTTATCAGTAGGGATGGATGTCTGCAAGACTTTGGATGGGCTCTGTGCTTTTCTTAATTGTACCGGCCGTGTGTTATCGAGAATCCACATTACTCTACTAATAGCAAAAAGAATCAGAATAAGTGCTTCATATCTCTCAGTTCACACTTGTTAGGATGCTATGTAACAGTTGGATCCTGGACTTCAGGAATGTTTTGTCCTTCGTTGGACTCCAAAGACTTTGGGGTGTTTCTTTCCTTGGACGTGTTTAAGGCCAGGTTGGACGGGGTCCTGGGCAACCTGATCTGAATGTGTATGTTTGGTGGCCCTGCTAGGCAGGGGGGTTGGAACTACATGATCCTTGGGGTCCCTTCCAACCTGGGTGATTCTGTGATTCTGTGATTCTGTGATTCTTGCTGAGTAGAAGCACAACCTGCTTGCATAAACCAGCCCCTTGGTAGGAGTGTTACCTAGAAGGGTGTCCAGCACGTACCTGTGAGAAAATAACTACACTTACACTCTAACTTTCTGCAGTTCTGTCAGGTTTTTCTACTTGTGTGCTGTTCTTAAGGCCAGGTTGGATGGGGCCCTGGGCAGCCTGGGCTGCTGTGAAATGGGGAGGTTGGTGGCCCTGCATGGCACAGGGGGGTTGGAGCTTCGTGATCCTTGAGGTTCCTTCCAACCCAAACCATTCTGTGATTCTGTGATTCACTGCATTAGGAGATGGATACATCATCTTTCCCAAGTACCAAGCAGAGTATCGGAGTGACAAGTACAGGAGTATGTGCAAGTATGGTGCAACTCCTGCTGTTCCATCTTTGTGGCTTTGAAACAAGTCTGGGAGCAGGAGGCAAACGACAGACAACAGGGCCAGATCCAATGGGTGCCATGCCTGAAAGTGGGACGTGAAAATGAGCTGTGCTGCAGAGGAGACACTGCGTCCTGCACTGAGAATGCTGTAACCACAATGGCTGTGGTTCCAAGGACTATTGGTAGCTGTGAAGGAGCTCAGAGTCGAATCTCATTGATGAAAATGCTTGTAAGCCTCTCAAGACTTGTAGTCAATTTGTTCAAGTTAATAAAGTGAAAGCTCAGAAGTGTCTTGAGCTGAGGTGTAATTCTCTATTCCTGAACAAAATGAATCCTGTAATGGATGGGCCTTTGGAGCTTGCTGTACCTTTCTGCAGCGGAGTGAAGTGAAATCTAGCAGATTGCTACCTGAGAAAAAAATGCGGATCAGAAAAGGGGGCAGTTTTTCCAAGGACTGACATTGCATTTATATATCAATAATTCTGAAAACAAAATTGCGTATTTTTCTGAAATAAAAGCCTTTTATCTGCTGTCTGTGCACTGGAGTGGAGAGAGGTGGGAAAGCCAACCTGATTACCTCTGCAGTGTCTGCAGAACGTGTATTGGAAGATTCTCTGCAGGCATTCCCTGACATAAAGCATCTTTCAGTGCATTTACAAGGGCACAAAATACCTTTGGTGAGGGTGTGATAGTGGTCAGACCAGGCAGGGTTTGGAAGACATCCGATGGTGTAATTACATCTGGTCCGAGAAGCCTGAGGCTACGGAGGATCTGGTTCTTTACAAAGCCTAACTAGAGAGTGGTGTGATTTGGCATTCTGTTTTCCTTTGGTTGTTTCTTGGGTCTGAGCCACGTGTGCCCTGAGGATGTAGACCCTGAGCACTGCCTTCCCAGTCCCCTCTATGGAAGGGGTCTCCGACTGGTAAAGTGTGCTGCAGGCTGGAGGTGAGGCTTTGTTGCTTTCTCATGCCAGAGATCTCCATCATAAGTGGACAAGACTTTCTTCAGTTAAATACAAAAGTTTCAGTGGATTTCCCTGTATCAGTCTTTGTTATTGCTGACGTAGATCCAGAGGCAATTGCACGGCACTGGCCTTTTATCCTGTCCCTGTCCTGAAAACTGTCTTGCTCAGAAGAGCATTAAG